AAAGAAAGAAAGAAAGAAAGAAAGAAAGAAAGAAAGAAAGAAAGAAAGAAAGAAAGAAAAAGGTATCTTCTGGTCTTAATTCTAAAGCTAATTTTTCATGTGGGCAACTAATGACTGAAATAATTAACAAATTCAGTAAGAATTAGTGTCAACTCAGAAGTGAGTAGGTTTTGTTTGTTGCTTTGGTTGTTTTAATATGCAGTTAGGAGAAGGTAAATAAAAATAATTCGGTTTATTCAGCTTTAAATACAGAGTGGGGAGATGGTAACATGTCTTCAAACATAATTTCTCTCAACTTTACTTAGGATACAAGATGAACAGCGTATCACTAAATATACACATTATATTTTAGTTAGAATCCAACGTGTCTGTTATTTCAATCTATGAGGAATTCATTCGATTGTTATGATACAGCTCCTTGAGGGTAAAAGCCTATTTTAGTCCTTTTGCAACTTTCACCAAGAATATTCAATTAAGGTAATAAGATACTGAAAGTAAGCCTCACCATTGGTTAAGTATTTTTTCTTTCAATGGGGATGATAGCAGCATTTTTATTTCTATTTTTACCTTATAAGAGTCTCCTCCAGGAATGACTTCCTGAATATACACCAATGGCCCTTCATTCCGGTTAATTCCTCCGAGGGTCTTCAGACCAAGGCCTGTTTCTTTGGGGAATGTAATCATCTGAAAGGCAGGATCCCTGAGATAAAGTAAGGCAGCAGTCACGGGGTAGGCAAGAGATCTGTACCTGTATTTTGCTTTAATCTGCTTGTTAAATCAAATTCTTAGATAGCCAACCCCAAGTACTTAAAACATACTAGAAACTAAAAGATATGGTAATAGAAAATTAAGTAAATAAATTTCCTTTCCTATATTTTTAATTCTGTCTTTAAAAACAAGCAAACAAGCATAAAAGAATTTATAGCACTAACAGTTATGGGTTTGGGGCAGAATCAAGAAAAATATGTTTAAAAATTACTTAAGTAAATTTAAAGTTTTATTAAAAGCAATACAAGAGATTTGTTTTTAGTTGGTTATTGGAATCACTGAAGGACAAAAAAACTGAGTATTGTAATAAATTAAGGGAGGAATTTTGATATACTTGTAGACATTTAGAGCAAAATAAATACACCTGCCATTTGACTTTCAAGAAAGTTTCATCTTTTAATTTATAAAGAGCATTTTGCTATTAAAAATTGTTGCACTATGTACTTAACTTTACCCATAATAAGAGAATTGTAAGATAAAACTATGCAGAGATACTGTTGTTCACTTACCTTATCCATAAAATTTAAAACCTGAACAATAAACTCTGATCGCAAAGCTGTAGGAGAAAGAAGCACTTTTATATTCCCACTGGCAGTAATTTATACAGTTTACATTGCTATTGGTAGTGGGAATATAAAATGGCACAACCTCTAAAGAGAGAATATGGGTATTTCTAATAAAACAATTAGCGTCTCCTCTAACTCAGCAACCCAATTTATACGAATCTATCTCAAAGTAAAGCCAAATTGTTTAAAAGCTAGGTTCTTCATTTTGGCAGAATTTGCATTCACCAAAAATCGCAAATAGTCCAAATGTCCACCAAGAAGTTATGGCTACATAAACTAAAGAACATACACACAGGGTAGAATACCATGAAGTTTTAACAAGGAGCAAAAAAGATCTTTATAAACTAATATGAAGTGACCATCTGGATTGTTATGGTTTGTGTCTGGATGGCCCTCCAAAGCCTCATGCAGTCATGGGGTGGGCTTCTAGAGTTTATGATTGATCCATGGTCCAGTGTTGGAATTATGGACGTGAGTGCTACACGGGCCCTGGGGCGGCAGGTTTGCAAACAACGTAAGGGAGGGCAAGAGGCTGAGGGCAAGAGGGCTTGCCGTTGCTCCTCCCTTTTGCCCTTGTTGCTTTGCTGTTTTCCGCTGCTATGAACTGTTGCCCTCTGCCATGTGCCCCTCTGGGCCTTGGACCCAGCCGAGTATGGACTGAAACCTCCACAAACTGTGAGCAAAATAAACCTTTCCTTCCTTCATTTTAGGTGTCGGGTATTTTGTCTCAGCAACGAGAGAAAAGTAACCAACACAGTGATATAACTTTAAATTAAGACAAAAGAGCCAGATCAAAAAAAAATATGATAATATGCTACCTTTGAGTTAAGAATATTCTGGAGTAGACTCCAAATATATGTAATTGTGTAGGCGGTGTGAGAGAAAAATACATTGTGTATTTAAATAAAAGAAATGTTACTACAGTAAAATACTCACTACGATTAATCCCCCTTAAGCTACTCCCCGCTCCATTCAAACACTTATCTCATTGTTTTGCCACTTTCTGAAGCAGCCCTGGAATTCCTCTTTCATGAGTGTCTCCAGCTGCACTGTTGTGACTGCCTTAATGTCCTGAATTCACTTAAAACATCGACCTTTCATGTTCATCTTGGCTCTGGGGAAGACCCAGAAGTCGTACGGCATCAAATCTAGTGTATAAGGTGAATGAGGCGCACTGAAATGTTTCTACCATCCTGTCTTTCCAGCGTATGGCACCCAGCAGCAGCATTCGCAGTATTTTCATCATCCTTTGTAAAGACACTCACAAAAGAGGACTTCCAGAAATGCCTCTGAAAGTGGCAGGAACGATGAGCTAAGTATGTCAGAGGTGAGGGGGAGTAAAAGTGACTTTTACTGTCATAAGTTAGTAAAATTTAATCATTCACAGTGTTTTGATTACTGTTTATGTGTTACCTAGGTCTGTTTACATGCATTTGCTTATGCAAAAAGAAACATTAAAAAAAGAACCAAGAATAAAAATGTTCTTCTGCTGAAAGAATGCCAGGGACAAGAGTGAGAGCAAGGCTTCTCCCGTTGCACCTTGTGAAATATGTTACATGCTTCCAAAATGGTCACCAGTGGTTCCAACTGTCCCTGTGTGCATCCTCTTTGGCAAAGTAATTTTATCCCTCCCTTCCATTCAGAATAAAGTCTACACATCTTGCCTCAAATTTGCCTTGTTATTTGATTACTTAAGCAAAGGTGGGGAAAGCAGACATTTGAAAAACATTTAACTTTGTTGCTGGGAACCATGGCGCCACCACGTGCAAAAGCCTAACCTAGCTCCTCGCAGGATGAGAGGCCAGGTGGAGAGTGAGATCTCAGTCCTTCAGCCTTCCTGGCTGAGGCCTGAGACACGTAACACCTGCTGCAGAGCAGAACTTATCAGCCACCACCAGGACCATGAGGAAAAAAATAAGTGCCTGTTATTTTAAGCATTTTGGGATGGTGATTCAGAAGCGAATTTTATGTAAATTTTCCACTGCCATTATAAAATATTTTGGATATTCAAAAAGTCAAATCAATTTTTTAAAAAAAAAATGCAATCTCTACAAGTAATTTTAAGGCAAATGCATAATTTGTCCTCTACACACACCTGCTTACATTGTGTCGTGGATAGGAAGTGTCTCCCACATGCCCAGGTATTAAAGGCGTGGTTGCCCGCTGGTAGTACTATTGGGAGGCAATAGAATTTTGAAGAGGCAGGGTATAGCTGGAAGAAGGCAGCATTTCCTTCATTCCCCTTCAGGGCATTTTCCTGAAGGGGATATTAGGACTGAGCACTTTCCTACCTTTTTCTTTCTGACAGCCATGAGGTGAACAGACCGCTTCCCCCAAGAGCTCCTGCCATGATGAACCACGCTGGCCCAGCAACAGGGCCAAGCAACCACGGACTGAAACCTCTGAAATCGTAAGCCAAATTCAATCTTTTTTCCTCATGAATTGACTATCTTAAATATTCTTATTACAGTGATGAAAAACTAATACACAGCGAAGTTCCAATAACTCAATGTATTCTTTTACTCAACACTGTATCCCAGACCACATTACTAGCTAGCTGTAAAACTACATATTTCACACTATACTATTTCACAACGTATTAAACTGAACTGAAAGTTACTTTTCAAGTAGACTGGATGATACTGTAGGACACGTCTTCTTATTCATGCTTTCACCACCGTCGTTTTGGGTTTAAACAGTAGTATAAATGAAGAACTTGATGAAGAGTCTCGAAATCTTTCTTTTCCTAAGATTGGAACAGTAAAAAACAATTGTCAGAATTTAGAACAATCAAATTCGATTCCAATTTGCATAAAAAATATTATAGATACAGCACTTGGCAAATAAATAATACATGTCAGTGTATAGACGTTTTATGTTTTTTTGTATTTTGGGCTATGACATTTTAGTCATTGGTAATAACATCTGAAGTGTAAAGAGAACTCTCTAGGATAGACAGATGGGCCTATGTCTACATCATTATGAAGACTGTTATTTATATAAAATCTACATTTTCTGGCAAAAGTGAAGAATACACCAAAGCTTTGGATAACCATTAGAACTTCTACCACTGGTAAGACTAGAAACCACATAATAATAAATAATTGCAGAAAATGTCTCTGGTCAGGACAAAACTACGAAGTTTACAGTCAGAAAATAATTATACGATACATTTGAAGAAAACAGAAATTCTTATCTTCTCACCAAATCTCTTGAGGGACGTCCTATAGATCCTATGTGACTCTGACTTATGTTACTCCATAAGTTTATTAAATACTTTTCTGTGAAGAGAAAAAAATGTTCGTGTGTCACACAGCTCCACTGTGAACATTAAAAACTGTGACATTTTATTTAATTAAAACAAACTATTTGAACAGAGGTTTATTACCTTAGGATAAGATATATGAATGAAGAACAACAACTGACTCTCTAGTAATATGAATTTTTAGTGAGGTCTGGGGAGATAAAGAAGATACATGCTAAGTTTCACCTGTCATTTTTAACTGAGAATCACATTCTTTAAACTTTACTAAGGTATAACTGACTTACAACACACAACAGACATTGAAAGTTGAAAAATATATTCGGGCAATTTAACACAACCCTCTTATTAAAGAAAGAAGTAGCCAGAGACTGTGATTTCCCACACAAGGAAGAAACAGCCAAGGGGTTGTTTTCCCAGCCAGAACTCAGGCTTTAGAGACCATGGCATGGATTTTGAAACCTGGTAAACCTTGGGTCCAATTTGAGCTTTTGATCTTCTCCAACTCTCAATCTTCACTGGTCCACTAAGTACCATGATAGTAGTGATGGTTTCACCACTAAATACCTGGCATGGAAATCTAAATACTCTTACTTTGCACATCAATTCTTTGTTGTAGACCAATCACAGAGGCAGAGAACTAAGATCAAGGGATTCATCCTACCGTATTTCTTTTACATCCTACCGTATTCTTTCTTTTCTGAATGCAGAAGTAATGGGTCCTGTAAATAAACTGAATGAACCTGGAAGAAAAAGCCAATACCTTTTGGGAGCTTAGCGGAGTTGTACTCCGCAATGGGAAGAGGGGAAGATGCAGAAAGCTGGCAGCAAGAGAAATGAGGAGTTCTTTACACAGATAGATGGGTCTGTATCTACTTTATTGTAAATATATGGATGTCGAACCCGTGGCAAAAGTCCCACAGACATGATAAAAGAAAGTGACTCAGACCTACCCCAGGAAGGGAAAGAGTGACATGAGTGTGGTGCTCACACTCTTAAGGCTTTAACCACTAGTGACTCAGACAAGAACCGCTGCAGCCCGGTGTGGTGGCACACACCTGTAATCTCAGCCCTTGTGAGGCTGAGGCAGGAGGATTGCTTCGAGTTCGAGACCAGCTTGGGCTACTTAGTGAGTTCAAGACCAACCTGCACTACAAAGTGAGACCCTCAAAAAACAGAGCTTGGGACATAGCTCAGCGGCACAGCATCTGCCTGGCAAGTACAAGGTCCTGAGTTTGATTCCTGGTACCAAAAACGAAGAAACAGTAACAAACAAGGGTCATTGCAGTTCTTCTTAAGACTGGAATAACCATGGAAGACAGCTCAATTCTAAAAGTAAATCTGCCTAGGTTCATTATAAGTTCACTACAGATTACTTTAGTAACACAAATTAGACAAATTTTCAAATCTTGAGAGGAAATTTTGATATTATAATAATAGTAACTACCATTTATTGGCTGTACATATCACATACTATGCTAAGTTTCCAAATGCATGTATCTTATTTATTATCACGGAGAATGCACGAGGCAGAAGTTAAAGAAGCCAAGTTCACATGACAGCATCCCTATGTGCTAGTCATGTAACCTCAGAAATGTTAACTGGCCTCCTGGCACCACCTCATTTTAAGGCAGGAATACTACTATTAGCTCAAAGAGAGATGTAAAACAAAACAAAACAAAATACCGAGCCATCTCTTTACCGGTAGAAAAGTGACTAGGATCGTCATCTAGTGGTGATTTATTTTCACACTACAGAGGGTCACCAGGTTCCCTGGAACACATTTAAGTCTAATGGATACACCCATACTAAATCTCTGCAATATATTCAATACGATGCAACAATTAACAAGACATTTTAGAGTATTTCTGTTTTAAAATATTAAAATAAAATCTAGGTGTCTGAATTATTCCATTCACCTAGCATACCTGGCAGTGTCCTAATGCTAGCAATAAACTAAAAAGCAGAGTCTCTCCAATCAACAGACGTCAGGAAGGCGGCAGGACTCTGGCAGTCCTATGTACTGGAAGCCACGCCTGGAAGAACGACTCCTGCCGGGGATGGAGAGGCATCATTAAACATGAATAAGGTCAGGCACCATCCTAGAGGATTTTCACCTGACAGCAGTACCATAGGCAGGTATTTTCAACCCAGTTTTACATAAGAGAAAACGAAGTCGTAGCGAAACTGTGCGACTTGTCCATTTTCATAGGCCAGCTCTAAAGCGTAATATGAATGAATTCATCTCTTTCTGGCTCTAAATGCAGGCTTTTTCTGCCGCAGCGTTCTGGGAAATTAGTTTATGTGCAAAACTTCATTCTCCAAAAAGGCAAGATAGAAATACAGCAGTAATTTGCTCATAAGCAGATGACACTACTGATTAAAGTTTTTTACACTATCAATGTCAGATATGGGTTTAATTTTATCCATCCAAACAGGCTTTTTTTTAATGAAAAAGGTATCTATTACTGTACCTCATAGAGCACTTCATAAAGTGTCTATCCTCTCCCTCCTTTGCCTCCGTCCTACCCTTTACACAAACTAGCAAAGCTCTCCATCAGCAGTTCTATTAATGCTACACAGAGACACAGACAGAGGCGCATACCCTATAAGGTCACATTACTAATGAATGACACAGAAGCAAAACATTTTGTTCTTTTACTATTTGCACATTCAAGGAAAATATACTGTTTGGTTTGGTAAGTCCCAAGGGGGAAACGGTTAGATCAGCGAAAATAAAGTGAAGCACTAGGTGAACATACTCTTCTTCTAAGAGGAATCTATTTCAAAAACCTTAGCTTTACTCGGACAATATAAATCTCCTTCCTTATACTTTCATTAAACCAAATTCCATTCCACACAATTAGAAATGTCATTCCATATAATTACAACTATATGTATATATTTGGTGTTTGAGAAAGACTTAGTACTTTATGGTCTCAGAGACATGACAGTCAGTATTTCCTACAGCCAGACCTTTTTTTCTAGACCAAAAATAAAAAAAAATAAAAAGTAATGAGATAAAAATATCTTCTTCCAGAAGTTATAGTAAATATTAATTTGATGAAATTACCAGACTGTCTTAATGAAACTAACGGTATTGCCATAATGCCATCAGAGTTGTGCTAACATACTATTCCACCAATAATACTGTCTGATACTCCAAATTCCTAAAAAATTCCTAACATGTTTTTTTCCTTTATCCTTGAAGAACCATTTAGTATCTCTTTTATGTGAACTGTTTATTTTGCCAAACTTTCTATTCATTATTTTTTTTAACTCAGTTTCTTAAATCCTAGGGAGATTAACTCTCCATCAGTATTAAGAATCACAAATGTATTTCCCCCTTATGTTCTTGGTTACAGATTTTTTTTTTTAATCCAAAAGTTTGTGGCTAAATTTATCAACGTTTTGTGATTTCTGGGATTAAAGTCAAATTAGAAACCACTGTCCCAGGCTAATAAATAATTCTTGTGTTTCTTCTAGTACTTCTATGATTTTATTTTAGTGATTCACTTGGAATTCATCTTAGTGTGCAGTATATGGGTCCCACTCACATTTTCTCCCTGCAGCTCACACAGTTAACCACATCTTGGGGCTGGGGATTTAGCTCAGCAGCACAGCGCCTGCCTGGCAAGGGCAAGGTTGTGAGTTCAATTCCCGGTACGGGAAGAAAAAAACAAAAAACAAAAAACAGTGACCCTTGTTCATTAAACAATTCACCTTTTCCCCACTGATTTGAGATGTACTTTATTATACACCAAATCTGATAAGTATTTTGATCTACTTCTGTAATTTTTACTTTGGTTCTTTGGTTCCTTTATTCATTCATGCACAAAAGTTAATCTGTTTTAATTACTGAGGCTTTATAATTCCAAATGTTTCTGTATCCAGCGAGAACAATCCCCTTTTGTTGTTTTGTTAATCAAGTTTCTCTAATTGTTTTTGGCTGTTTATGTTTATACACTAACTTGAAAATCTCCTTATCTTGGTCAAAAAACAAAACAATGCTCTTTTTGGAAAATCAGAATAAATTTACAAATGAAGGACCTATTAGTATCCTTCTCATGTTATTTTGAGTCTCCCTAGCCAGGAACTTGGTAGGTCTTTCTATTCATTCAGATCTTCCTTTGTGATTTTCTACAGGATTTTAAAGTTATTTTTATATTGATCTTATACATTTTTAAGTTAATTTCTAAATATTTTATCTTTTGCTATTAATTAATCCCTTTAAAAAACTCATTGCTTTGTAAATGATAAATACAATGTCTGGAAAGCCTCAAATATTGTATCTTCTAGAAAAGAATTGCTCTCCCACTCCAAATTCTATCATATGATTAAATGTCTCCATTTTAAAATGTTACTAATAAACAACTTGGGAGAAAAATAGGCACAATTCACATCAGATTTTTGTTGAAAACTGCGCATCTGCACTATGTTGGTTTATAACCAATTACATCTTCACACCTCAACGCACATACTCAGGGTCCTTATCATAGCAATTAATTAGATTTATCTTTGCTATCACTGCAAAGATTAAAATAATACATCTTCAACAGACTCATAAGAGCTTTCTAAACACGAGCCTAATTTCCATTCTTCCTTGACAAAGTACTTAAATATTTACTTCAAAGTACTTAAGAAGCTATGAGGTCAAGGAACCCAGAACTGTTTGCCCACAGGACTAAGATCACCAGAAGGAAAAGTGTCATTTCTACCAGTCACGGAGAGATTTGTTGGTCTAATAAGAAGCCCAGTCTCTTAAAAATAATAATAATAATTTTAAAAGCTGCTGAGAAAAATACTTTGTCAGAAGCTACTGGTCAATTAGAGGTCTCTGAAGGTCTGTTAGATCATCCTCATCCAGTGACTGGGGCTCTTCAGTTCATGCTCGGGGTGAGGCTTCTTTTTATATTGCTAGGGAGAGTAAAAGTAAAGAAAGGAGCTCAAAGGGATTCTCCTTTTAGGACAGAGCACCGCTAGCCTTTCCAAACCAAGAGACTGAAGGGGCTGGGGATT